TGATTTGTTAAATCTAGTCCATGCCAGCTTCCAAAAACCAAACTTTTAGTTAGCTTCATTCTTTGATGCCTCATCAAAATTTTCTACAAGATCTGAAAAAGAAAAACAAAGCATATGAATCAAAGAATACAAAAAAGGAGAAAGAGGTAAATGGAACACCTAACTTCTAACCCTAATAAAAATAAAATTAGTACAACTAGAATTAGCCTGGAAACGTAAGGAGGCAGAAATGAACTGGTGGCATTTTACTAACAATGATTTAATTATCTGCTTAGGACAGTAATCCTAAGGAAATGTTCATCTTTTTTTGTCTATGCAAACTACTGAGGTGAATTCATATGTCAATTATAATTCACACAGAAATGTTATAACAATAGCTATGCAGATTTATAATCACAGTGATTTCAATTTAATAAATCCAGGCAGCAGAGCTTTGTGTGACAATTTCTGATTCTAAGGTGGGGGCTTGCATTGTTTTACATTGGATCCTATCCATATTATTGTGAATCAATTTAAATTCATGAACTTACAATCAACACAAACCTAAAAGTCATCTATGCAGTGACTGAAAGGAGATAAACAGGATGCTTAAAATCTTAAGTCTAAGGAAATGTCACTTACCTGGAACATCATCATCCTCCTCATCAATGTCTTCTGGTTTTGGTGCTTTACTGTCCAAGACTACAAAAAGTTTATTTTAGTATCAGTCATTGAGAACAAAGACTTTAAAGAAAACTTATGTTTATCCCTTTTTTCCTGTATAAATCACATCCAGTTGCTCAGAAAAAGCTAAATATTGTCAATCTAAAATGCCATTCATAGTTTTTTGCTTGAGTAACATTAAAAATAAATAAAACTTTAATTTAGATATACACTGATACACAGCTGGCAATTTCAATGTGTGGCAAAGATGAAATTTATTTTATTTTTTGAGACAGGGTCTCACTCTGTTGACCAGGCTGGAGTTTAGTGGTGCGATCTCGGCTCACTACAGCCTCCACCTCCAAGTTCAACCAATTCTCCCTGCCTCCCAAGTAGCTAAGATTACAGACAAATGCCACCACACCCAGCTAATTTTTGTATTTTTAGTAGAGACGGGGTTTCGCCATGTTGGCCAGGCTGGTCTCGAACTCCTGACCTTAAGGGATCCACCTGCCTTGGCCTCCCAAAGTGCTGGGATTACAGAGGTGAGCCACCACACCCGGTGTACAAAGATAAAATTTAAATGCAAAGTGGAATAACTGATCACTGAGTAAAAAGACTTTACAGTGGCCATATTCTCCAAATAAAAAAATTAATATTAATATTTTTTTCAGCCAGGCATGGTGGTTCATGCCTGTAATCCACTGCACTCCAGCCTGGGCAACAGAGTGAGACTCTGTCTCAAAAAAAAAAAAA